CGCACCACCAAAATAATGGGACATGACTCTAAGCTTGGCAACTTATCATACAGAATAAAAATAACCCGAGACAAGACTATCAAGAACGATGGAAGGATCCTACATAGCAACTGGCCTCCTTTCCTCACCCTGACCACCTCTAGTGGGTGGCCATTAAGGCAAATAAAGTAATTATTTATTTATCATCCAAATTAAGTAATTTTGAGACAAGTTTCAGCAATAACTAATCTTCAGATTTGTTGTGTTACACCTTGTGTTACACAACTGCTTGTATGGTTTTACATGACAACACAAACACCTTTACACTAAAAGTCAAACATTTATACAAAACACACACACGCACATTTAAACAAATACATGTACCGTACAAACAAACTCTCTTAAATAAATATAAATGCACACAAACACATTTACATAAATGTCCACCTTTAGATAAATACACTATACTGTAAATTTGTTTAATTAATTCAAGGGTCATAATTAACGCTAATTTGTGACATTTTTGCATTCCGAATCAAGATCCTTAATCAGTATTTAAAAACAGTACAGTACAGTACAGTGCAGTACAGTACAGCACAGCATCTCTGATGAATTTGAACCAAATCTACAACATGACCTCCTGTGCCCAAACACAAGATACGGATAATATGCTTAAATAATAAAGCTGCTCCATATTCTCGAAAAAATGTATTTAAATGTGAATTAAAACTAATGGGTACAGTGTATTTGATGTTTTAAATACTGTAGTACAGTACTGTACACAACTGCACATAAACACAAGTACAGGTTAGGTATCCTTTATCCAAAATGCTTGGGGATTTAGGGGTCTCGGATTTGGGATATATTTGGAACACCAGTACAAGGTATACAGAACCTGTATAATGGGGTAGCTCACCCAGCAGGGATGGGGCCCAAGGAAAGTCATTTATCTTAAGAATATGTACAAAAGATTCATTATTGTTTATTACTGAATATGTATTTCATTGAATTAACGTTTATATATGTGAAATGAACAATGCAATTCATTAATAATAAGTAGAAGCATTGTTTTCGTGAGTGACGATGGTTCTACATAAGAAACTGAAGAAAATAAGACCCTGCTTGTGGCTGTAGTGAACTTAATTTAAAAAAATTTAATACCTGTATGTATGTTTTAAGTAATGCTATTTAATGTTAATAAATGGAACACTAGAAGTAGCTAACCACTAATGGTAAAGAAATAAGGCGAGACGATTGAGAACGCCAACGTATGTACAGTAAGTGCGTACATGTGAAAACATATGTCATTTCTCTACATATGAATATGAAAGCAACACTTATTTGCTGTTCATATATGTTTTAAATAATATTTACAAATGTAAAACTAAAATTCTATTCACCAATGGTGGTAAAGTCTAACACATAGGACAGTCAATGAATATTGTGCGAGTTTTTACTCAGATGACTGTCATATGGTTCAACATAGACTACTGAAAGCACGTTGTAAGTTAAGTTAGCCTATTGTAAGTTGGTGAGCTGCATCTGCTGAAAAAGCATCTAATTTATTATGTATCCATAACTGACATTTAGTCAATATGACCAAGGATAACCAACAAGCAGAAAATATTTTTTTCCAATAGCATCCTTATGCCATCCCTGCTAACAACTTACTGAAAGTTTGATCAATCAAAGTTTATACATGGAGAAAACAGTTCCTTCATTGATAATTTTTTGACAAGAATAAATCATCACCCACCTGTATATAGATGCTCCTCTACTTACGAACGAGTTAGTTCCTGAGGCTTGTTTGTCCGTCCAACTTTACTTCTGTAGATACAAAACATATTGTAAAAAATGAAAATATTATGGATATTTAGTACAGCTATACCCTTTAATACAGCCTTAAAACCTGGCTCACTCTTCTGTTCTTAGGCAATATTTGTTCTATCTGAAATTTTCTTCAAAATAATCCAGTCTCATCCACATTAAACACCTGTTCTGACAGGTAACCCCCCCCCCCCATCAGTGATGATGTTTGTATCTCCGAAAGTTTGTAAGTTGAACGTCCTTAAGTAGAGGAGCACTTGTATAAGGATATGCATATGAAAAACCTTTGAGTATTTAATTTATCAATGTACAGTACAGCTCTATACTGGTATTCACACAAAAATACTTCCCACATTGTATATACAGGTTAATGTAATTTACATGATATATGTGGAAAAATACCCCTCAAAATTTCCCACAAGAATTCCCCCCACCTTGTAGATACCTAACTAATATCTCCTGCGACAAAACATCTCTATCCCAAAACATGAAAAAATGACTGCACACTCGTCAAAACCCCGCCCTCACACGTCAAAACGCCATCCCCCAAACTTAAAAAATCCTCCCAAACAAATATGTGATGAAATAACATTATTTTCTAGATTCAATGAGTTCAGGATCTTGTGGATAAGGGGGCTTCGTATCAAAGGGTTGTGGGTTCTGTAATTCCTGAGGTTTGGGGATTCGAGACTGGAGCTTGGGGTTCAAAGTTTAAACTTAAACTCAAAGGATTCACCATAAAATGAATAAAGGGTCGAGACTGTCCAGAATTGTAACCTAAATTTCCAACTGGTTCCTACTATGTGTAACCTCAGCTGATTGGTTGCTCCTGTTCCAGAGTGTGGTATAAAGAATGGGGGAGAGGAGAGCAGGGAGAACTGACAACTGGAGGAACACCAATTTCACCAGGAGTGTGGGCAGTCATTACCAGTCCCAACAACACACCATGCAGTCGCTACACTAGCCCACCATACACCAAGACCGCTACAAGCACCAAGAAGCTGTCTGTAACTTCTTACCACCACACCACAACAGATATTGATGGTGTCTATGAGGAAGTGTGGACTGATGGTGATTATCTGACAATGGTGATGTCTGCAGTGCTACAGAGGTTAGCAGACAACAGTGAAGTAATGGTGACATGTTGTCACTTGTATTCAGTTGTGAACATTAATGAACCAAGTTATATTATATAAATTGCTTGTCTAATTTTCCCTGAGTCTTACATTCAATACATGAGAACAGTCTCACGTTTCATATAATAACAAGGTAGAGTAATCAAAATCTGGTAAGTTCCTTAAAGGACTATCATCACAAAATGTAAAAAATCCTCTCCAACATGCAAAAAAAAAAAAAAAAAAATCCCTAACACATAAAAAATCCATCTACATCACAATAGGTCGACAAAAGCATTCAATATAAATCTGTCCAATGGCTTGGTAAGTTTCAATGGTCAGTCTACATAACACCTAGCTACTATAACTCAAGAACACTTACACCAGGTCCATTTTCTTTTTTACTTTTATCCTCTTTGCCACTGATCGGCTTGAGAGCCATTTGGGTGGTTAGTCATTAAGTATTGATTAGAAACACACTTTGATCTGCATGAGGAATAATTCAAATAGAAAAGTCATCGTTTGAAAAATAAATGTATTTTTCATTATGTGGAGTGAAAAACTCTCATAGGCCTGATGGCTCACTTAAGACTAAGCCTCTGATACACAAAGACAATGTGTCCGGCATTGCATTCTCTCACCTTCACTTTCCCAACTGGTAAGTTAGGTACCCATTCACAGCTAGGTGGACTGGAGGTGCCCTAACTATGAACCAGCAACCTATAAGACAGGAGAGAAGTGTTGTATCAAATTAACCTCCTCACTTCATATTGAATTGTGTGTTTCAATATATTATAATTGGGTAAAAACTTAAAGGACACTCTTCCATAATACTCAGTTAATGATTGCTGAGTGAAGGCCTTGACATGGTCACTATAATGGTTGCCCCTCGTGTAACGAGGATGGCCGGCCTTAGGGCCACCTAGGAGTCAATTTGTTTAAGGTGTAGAAGCTGTCGCCATCACAATAACCACACCCTAAATAAGCGGTCACCAACACATTAACCACACCCTAAGTTAGTGAGTTGCATGACCCATTGTCGAGGAATAGTCCGAGAAAAGTGGACAACTCGCCAACTCCACTGGCTAACCATTAACCCGAAACATAATCCACAAATCGATTAACATCCAGTTCCCCATTACTGCTGGGTAGACAGAGGCAAATGGCATAGAAAAACTTGCCCATACAGTAGTTTCACCCTGCCCGGGGATCGAACCCGGGTCCACTCGCTTGCGAGGTGAGCATGCTGACCATTACACCACAGGTCACCTAGAGCCTTGTGCTGCATGCTGAGCTGTAAGTTTGATCATGTAAAGTGCATCTGTTAGTTTAACCATCTCTATGTAAATCTGTTGCACTCACAGCTTTGGCCCTACTCTTGTAAAACTTGAAATATGAAATGATGGTCCCTCCAGGTTAGTTCTTTGGGAAGAGAGGTCAATATTAAAAGAGGAAGGTTGTTTTTAAGTGAAGCTTACAATATATGCTGTATATTTACCAGCACTAATCAGCTACCATACAGGTTGTTAAAGGTAAGGAGATAACCGCTTACTGCCAGTCATCCTGAACTGCTGGTGCTTGTACAGCACTGTACTGAGATTGGGTTAAGTTAAGAGGAGGCTACAGCATACCCTATACAATGGACGGGTACAAGGACTTGTCTCAGTAATTCATAAAGTAATATCTCCATTAGCTGAAACCCTCCAATACAGAACTGTACCCGGAATTAAAAATGACTCAGAATTTTTCCGTAACAAAATTCTCTCAATTCCGGGTCTGTGAACAAGTTTTCGAGGTTGAAAATCAAGCAAATTTTACAGAAAATTCTGAGAAAACTTCTAGAAACTGGGTCTGGGGTCAAATTCAGAGGATGAAATAATGCGTAGCTCTGACAAATTCTGGAAACTTCCTAATTGTTTTTTCTGGGTCTGGGAGTTAAATTCTAGGATGAAATACAGTAATGCGTAATTTCTGGAAAATTCCGAGAAAGTTTTCCCAGTACCCGGAAAAATTCTGAAATATTTCCGGGTTTGAGAGAATCATCTCATTACCCGGAAATCTCTCATCCTCGGAAGAGCTCTGAACTAATTATTCCGGCTAATGGGGATATCACTACTGAACTGTACTAAGGAATAAGACAAAATATATATTTCAAATGTTAGTGAATTGGATGATGCTCTTATCTAGTGTTGTATTTCCTCTTATAACACACATGATAAACAACTTCACTGTCCCCAGTGAATGGAAAGTGGCTTATGTGAGTCCTATCTTCAAGAAGGGATATCGGCACTCCACGAACAACTATAGACCAGTGAGCCTGACCAGCATAATATGTAAGGTACTTGAGAGTATTATCAGAGATGCCGCAATGGAACATCTAATGCGAAACAATCTTGTAAAGGATTGCCAACACGGTTTTATGCCAGGGCGCTCCTGCTTAACACAATTGCTTTAGGTATTGGATATTTGGACCCATATTCTGGAATGGGGTGGTAATATCGACAATATTTACCTAGATTTTGCCAAGGCTTTCGACAGTGTACCCCATGAAAGGCTGAAAATCAAACTGGAAGGGTATGGAATTCGGAGAAATGTCCTTGCATGGATAGAAGACTTTCTACATGACCGCAAGCAGTGTGTGGTGATTAATGGCACGAAATTGTCATCCGTACCTGTCACAAGTGGGGTACCACAGGGCAGTGTATTGGGCCTGCTGTTGTTTGTTTGTTTCATAAATGACATGCCTGACATTGTACACTCCTCCATACAAATGTTTGCCGATGACGCTAAGTTATTTCGGGAAATTAAGAACCAAGCTGACTGTGAAGAGCTGCAGAAGGACCTCTGTGGGTTCCAGGAATGGTCGAAGGAATGGCTGCTGAGATTCAATGTCACGAAGTGTAAGAGGATGCACTTGGGGCGTACCAACGGTAAGGAGGCGTATCATATGTTCCAACGGGATGAAGAAACTGCACTAGTCGAGACTGAATGTGAGAAGGACCTAGGTGTGTATGTTGACAATGAGCTGAAGTTTTCGGGCCATTGTGAGAAGAAAGTAAACCAGGCAAATAAATTATTGGGTCTTATAAGAAGGTCGTTCAGATATCTAGATGGTCCGTCCCTCGTAACGATCTTCAAGAGTGAAGTGCTTCCCCATCTGGAGTAGTGTCACTCAGTCTGGTCCCTGAGATATGCTATGGACTGTCAGTTGGTTGAAAATGTTCAAAGGAGGACCACCAGACTGGTGCCTGCATTTCGGCACCTCAGCTACCCTGAGAGATTGGAGCGCCAGAACTTGCCTAGCTTATATTACAGACGAGCAAGGGGTAACCCAGTTGAGGTGTATAAGCATCTCAGGGGGCACTAATCAGTCGAGTGTCCTTACTTGGAGCTGGCGGGCGCTCGCCCCACAAGGGGTCACAGCTCAAGATTGAAGAAGCCGCAAGTCCAGAAAACTGTGAGGGCAAACTTTTCGGAGTGAGGGTTGTAAACTCTTGGAACAATCTACCAGAGAGTGTTGTGACGGCACCGAGTGTGAGCTCTTTCAAGACAAGACTTGATCAACACTGGAGCGGGTTCAGGTACATTCAGGAGCCGGTGCATGCCCAGTATTTGCCAACAGTGCGTGACAGAGACGTGACCGATCGCCCGGGCGGCTAGCGAGCCGATCTTTTGGTGAAGAGGATAAATGAAAAGGAAAAGTAATCAGAGAATGACCGATCGCCCAAGCGGCTAACGAGCCGATCAGTGGCGAAGAGGATAAAAGTAAAAAAATAAAGGTTAAAAGTGTTACCGAGGGGGTGTTTAGGAGGCTGGAAACTTGCAGTACATAAGAATTTCATACACAACTCCTCCCCGACTTACGACAGGGTTAGGGACCCAAATCCAGGTCCTAAGTCAAAATGGTCGTAAGTCGAATATGCTTAAATATTACATAGAAAATCTAAAATGGGTGTCTATTTTTCTTCTCAGCACCAAAAAACTCACTTTTAAGCTTGCCAGCCATTTTAAAGTGAATTACAAACAAAAATTGTGTCTGTGTACCGACGTTGGGACTTGAAAATACACAATTTAACCAAATATTGGTACAACCGAGGCAGGTCGTAAGTGCGGGTGGTCATAAGTCGAGTAGGTCGTAAGTCGGAGAGGAGCTGTACTAATGACAGATTAAAATTTAATATTTTCTGGGTCTTAAAGATACCTGTACAATACTGTAGAATGATTAACTTATGCCTACAAGCTATGTACATTATTGTTGGAACATAGACAAAAATCCAAAGAGAGTTTGTACAGGTTTAATAGTAATCTGAAGTAAATGTGAAATTAGGATGGATTATAGTAAGTTAGGGTTAGCATAAAGTCATGTTAAGCTAAGTTGGATTAGGATAGGTCACCTTAAAGTATGTTAGGGGTTAAGTTTGAACTGCTTAGATGAGGTTAATTCAAATTAAGCTTTATAAGATCAAGTTAAATTAGTTAAAACTTAGATTAGGATAAGTCACATAAAATGCAGATTAAATCAAGCTGGAATTAGTTAAATTAAAAGTAAATTAGACTATGTTTGGTCTGATTAAATTAAGTTAGTGCAGTGGTGTGTTCTGTTATCACATTCAATCAATCAAACTACCATCCTCATATCATGGTATTCAGTTTTTAATTTCATTCAACTTTATAATGCTACAGAATGTGCTAAAGTATAGAGGCTGCTACTGGTATTGCCCTGACTGTACAACCAAAGTCATCAAGGTTATTGAGGATCATAAGGGAAATAGAAACTTATAGTAAAAAATAAAAGCTGGATTCTCAGTGGTTACCAAACTAGAGCACTAAGATTAAAGAAGTTGCCGATAGGATAGAGGGAGTAGTAGAGAAAAGCTACGCTCAGGTTGCAGCAGGGCCTCAGAAGGTGACAAAGAAATGTAGGATCTGAACAGGCCTTGCAGCAGCTAGGGACTCTACAGAAGTTTTGAAAAGATTACAACCGGTAGGCCTTCTGATATGGGAGAGGGCAACACTGTGATCGGCTTGAGCATAGGAACAATACAACTGTGTTTGGAGTTCCTAAGAGTCAGTCGGAGAAAGCTGAAAGTAGGAAAATACATGACAAGATGAAGGTTCTGAATATCTGTACAGAGGCTCTGAACCTGTATACTGTACTACCCCCAATGAAGTGACGATGCTAGGAAAGAAGCAGGAGAATAAGTCCCATCCCCTCAATACAGTATAACATTAGAGAATGGGGGAAAAGTGGGAATTTATCAGACAGGCAGGGAACGCAGCATTTTGAGACATAGTCATAAGTGCAGATCACACAGTAGTGCAGAGAGAACAGCACAAATAACTCTTGAAGCAAAGAGGGAGGATTCGGTGAAAAACTGGGACGGACTTGGGGGGATGTAGTAGAGGCAGGTGTATCAGTACAGAACCATGGGACAGCAAGATACCCCCCACCCCCTCAACTTCCTATCCAGGAGGAAGTGTGTACCATGTAAACAATGTCATCTCTGGCCACACCCCCAAAATATGGTGAGTGTAGTCAACAAGGCAGTTGTTGAGAATGAAAAGAGGCCAGAGCCACTACCAAGCTCGGAGTCGTTACCGAGGACTATTTCCGGTGTTGTGTGTGTTTGATAGTCATCTTGACTTGAGCATACAACCATCCAGCCTTACCTTCCTGTTATCTCTGCTAACGGGAGTCTTTTTGATTCCTGAGTGTCTCTTGCTGACAGAGAAGCAGAGGGTAGCGAGGATTGCTAGTATCATGAGGCCGCCAAGAGTGCCCACCACCGACACTAAGGTGATGCAGTTCTGCTCCATCTTCTTCAAATCGGCAAGTTTGTGTTCCACTGCAGCCTTTCCTTTGGACACTGCCTGGTGTGAGAGAATTGAAAGTGTTTTAATTTAAATTAATACAATTATGCACCTGGCACGACACACATCTGAGGTCGTCAAAATTCAAGAGATGATTCTTGTTGCCTGGGTTCAGGATGCCATGAAAGCGTCCCCCATACATCCCCTCCCCCACACTGGTATGAGTCACCACCAGATTGTTTCTGGTGACAATGTCTGAGCCTTCAACTGCTGCTCTTCTGTTTTATAACACTGGAGGCAATGCTTGAGTCTGGCATTTTTTTTTTGCTGCATTTCACAACCAGATACATATAAAATACTCTTATATTATATCCTATTACATCATCATATGTCCTAATAGCACAGTACAGTACTTCTTAATATACTCTAGTACATCCTAATACTGTACTGTACAGTACAGTATACCCAATTACAGTGTAATGACCACGGCCGTACACGCCAGTTATCGTAAAATCAGACAATTCATATTACGCTCCATAGCCCACAAAACATGTAGCTATGCCTTCTTTATTGAGTCTCCCCTCTGAGGCATCCGTTTTCAAGACGCCCGAGTCCCCTGTTTTCCCATTTTCTCTTTCGCTTCTCCATCATTATCTCAGGCACAGTGTGTGTGTTAGCTGAATACCCAGCAGCTGGCTGTATTGGACGATGTCGTTAATTCGGCAGGATTAAACTGTGGGAGTCCGCACCCTGGGCCCGAACCCCTCACCGTGTGTTGGACTACAACCAACCTTAACAGCATTCTTCGTTTGTTGTTACACCCTGGGGCACTCTTTACACTTATATGGGCACAGTATTATTGTATCTATGATTGGGGATTAACTAGCAGAAATATAGTTATCCCAGGTTAAGTATTGAACTCATGAATGTTGGTGTCCCAGCGGTACTGTTTGTAATGATTGGTTATCAGACCACAGATTACATCGGAGAATTACAACACATATAACATTTAGTATAGGCCCACGTGGCAACAAACATACCAAGTCGACACATCCTACAGTCCCAAGAGACCTGACCCCGGCCACTAAGTACTTGAGTAACCCTACTATATAACCGATATAACTGTGTTAAGGTAACCACACCTGGCCAAAACACCCCGGGGGGTAATAATTAGGAAGTACTACTGACCTGCGACATGACCACACCCGGACAAACAGCTGTCCAGACCTAACCCAAGGGAGATCAAGGACCCGCTAATCAGCCAGCACCCCTGTTACCCAACCCAACAACCCGGTCAAGACACACCCACTTCAGTAGGAGAGGTCATCCACAGCTCTTCCTCCAATATATATAGGACCTGTAGCCCTCTCGGAGAGAGAGAGAGTCTTGTAACCAAGGAGGGCCAGCAACGACGTCCCCAGTCCCGCTCATCAAAGAAGTCTGTCACTAAGGGTAACGAGGTCTCAGCCGGGTCCATCGACAGAGTGCTGTCAACTCAACGTGTAAAAGTAATTGCTGGCTGTGTAGGCGGTATAAGTGCGGTGATCCCGAACCTCCCAACGATCGACTTGTGAAGTTATACGAAAATATCATAGTCTATCATACCCTGTGTACGAATCCCCCCATTAATTCCCTCTAAGCAACTAGTAAAATAAAGCTGTAACACGCATTTGTGTTTTATATACTACACTTGTACTGAGCCTGTGTTAATATACATAGTCACCCCCACACCCTCAAGTCACGCTACCTACTTCCCTCACTATACGATTCTACTACTATAAACTCCTACCTTACATAAGAACATAAGAACATAAGAAAGTGGGATACTGCAGGAGGCCGACTGGCCCATACAGGGCAGATCCCTTTCACACCCATCCCAGCACTTCCATGTGCCTATCCAACTTCGTCTTGAAGCTCCCTAGCGTCCCCGATCCTACTATAGCACTCGGTAGCCTATTCCACATATCCACAACTCTATTACCAAACCAGTGCTTGCCTATATCCTTTCTGAATCGGAATTTATCTAATTTAAAGCCATTTGTTCTAGTTATTTCGTTATTACTGAGCTTCAGAACATCTTCCATTTTACCCTTGTTAATCCCACTTACCCACTTGTACACCTCTATCATATCTCCCCTAACTCTACGCCTCTCTAATGAATGCAAGCCTAAGCTTTTCAGTCTTTCTTCATATGGAAGGTTTCTAATATTATGGATCATTTTTGTCATTCTTCTTTGTACTCTCTCCAAAGAATCTATGTCCATTCTATAATAAGGACACCAGAACTGAACCACATAATCCATGTGTGGCCTCACTAATGCTAGGTAAAGTTTCAAGATAACGCCAGCAGTTCTGTTACTCACACTCCTAGATATGAACCCAAGAATCCTGTTTGCCTTGTTGCGAACGCTAATACATTGTTTTCTAGGTTTCAAGTCGTTGCTAACAAATACACCTAGATCTTTTTCACAAACTGAGTTTTCTATTTCCGTGTTACCTAGTTTATACTTAACGTTTGTATTCGTCTTCCCTATCTGTAGTACCTTGCATTTATCAGTATTAAAATTCATTTGCCAGTCTACTCACCACTCATGTAAGGTATCTAGATCTCTTTGAAGGTGTTCAAAGTCACTGTCTGAATTTATCACTCTCCCCATTTTGGTATCATCTGCAAATTTACTAATCCTACTAGTTATGCCTAAATCAAGATCATTAATGAATATAACAAACAGCAGGTGTACTACCACTGAATGCTAGTTAAAGTGCCATGTTGTTCATTCCGAACTAACAGGAGGTGTTTGATACCACCTTAATTTTGGATTTTGTCGAGTGTGTTATGTAATCATCTGTATTGACAATGAAGCAATATCATGAGTGTATAATGTTGTAATCAAGACTGATCTATTTTACTATTAATTTAAAGTAAAACCAAAGCGGTCCAGTCTGATCTGAGTGTAATTAATTAACATCTTATTCACTCCATATGTTAATAAATATTAAATTAGTAAACTACAAGTATCACCATTCTATTCCTTCTACACAATGGTTCTCAGAAAATAACTAGTAACTCACGTGCCTAGAAGTTCGCTAGCAGGCTACCTAACAGTTCCATGAGATATGTTATATTCTAATAAAAGTCTGGGTGGTGGCAGGCTACCGTTGTAAGTATAATAAGTGTTATAAAACGAATAACATGGTTTCCCACACTAATCCATGGTTTAGAATATAACTAGATCAAAACAGTATACAGAGGAAAACAGGACTCTTACAAATTGGTGACTTAGAAAATATAAGCAAGAATATAAGTATTGAAGAATAATAACAGAAGAGAATAAATATAAGAAATATTTGAAATAAAAATATAAGTATATAACTATATTGAAGAATAAAAAGAATAAGGATAAGAAGAGAGTAGTAAAGGGAAACAACCCCCCCCCTTACAACAGTACTTTCTAATACTGTACTGTATACCCTAATAAACCCTAGTACAGGTTCTGTACATCATAATACAGTATACCCAAGTCAATTTTGTTTTACAAAGAACGTTCATTTGCCCCAAAAATGAAGATCAGATTTGAGTAAATCACATAAAAAAAAAAAAAAAAAAAATATATATATATATATATATATATATATATATATATATATATATATATATATATATATATATATATATATATATATATATATATATATATATATATATATATATATATATATATATATATATATATATATATATATATATATATTCTCATAAGAAAAAGAGCCACAGCCATTAAACGAATATTTACCCTTTTCTCTAATCTTCAGACCACCAAACTATTTTGTAATCCTCTGTACAATATCCCACACTTCTTCTTATCCTCCTTACAGTGTCCAAATGAAATTGCCAGTGGAGGATCAATCATCATCTGGAATAAATCCGAAAATATGTTGACATATAAGCCAAATTATCAGTAGCAACACCAATATACCTGTAGTGCACTCTAGTGGCTAGGTTTCTGCTGAGGGGAAGTTCAACTAATTATCCAGTGGGGAATTCCCGGCAGGTAGTGGCATGAATTTATGAAGAAAGTTAGATTTAAAAACATTTATACAGTGGCTACTGAAAAAAACATTGGAAGCAAGAATGAACTCGTTTGGTTTATGTATTTCAAGTGACCTAAAAACTTCATATAAAGGTTCTAGAGAATCATGAATCTTGTTATATACTATAGTGCATCTCCTCCCCGACTTACAACCTACTCGACTTACGCCCACCCGCACTTATGATCTGCCTCAGTTGTACCAAAATTTGGTCAACTTACGTGTTTTTGAGTCCCAAAGTCAGTACACAGACAAAATTCACTTTAAAATGGCTGGCAAGCTTAAAAGTGAGTGTTTTGTGGTGCTGAGAAGAAAAAGAGACACCCATTTTAGATTTTGTGTATAATTTAAGCATTTCCGACTTACGACCTGGATTTGGGTCCCTAATCCCGTCGTAAGTCGCGGAGGAGCTGTAGTTTCACAATATTCTTCCTACAATATGATAACCTAAAACAAACCTACATGTACTGTAGTACTGTAGTGTAGTGAATGTAATGTAGAGAGTGTAGTGGATGTACTGTATGTAGTAGTGTAGTGGATGTACTGTAGATAGTGTAGTGGATGTACTGTAGATAGTGTAGTGGATGTACTGTAGATAGTGTAGTGGATGTACTGTAGATAGTGTAGTGGATGTACTGTAGATAGTGTAGTGGATGTACTGTAGATAGTGTAGTGGATGTACTGTAGATAGTGTAGTGGATGTACTGTAGATGTATGTAGTAGAAGTAGTGGATGTACTGTAGAGAGTGTAGTGGATGTACTGTAGATAGTGTGTATGAGAGTGTAGTGGATGTACTGTAGATAGTGTAGTGGATGTACTGTAGATAGTGTAGTGGATGTACTGTAGATAGTGTAGTGGATGTACTGTAGATAGTGTAGTGGATGTACTGTAGATAGTGTAGTGGATGTACTGTAGATAGTGTAGTGGATGAACTGTAGATAGTGTAGTGGATGTACT